TCTCTCTCTCTCTCTCTCTCTCTCTCTCTCTCTCTCTCTGTGTGTGTGTGTGTGTGTGTGTGTGTGTGTGTGTGTGTGTGTGAGCTACTGCTACTGCACATACACACACATGTATCACGGTCTTTCTGTGCATGTCCTCACTGCTCTCCCTCTCAACGACTGCACTATCCTACAGCTATGGTGCCCTGCAGCATCGTCTCCTTCCTCACCAGACTTTGTCCACGCATGCAGGATCGTGGCGCACAATAAAGCAGAAGCACATCTGAAGAGGAGGTTTCTGGCATTGGCCTCCCTTACGTGCTTGTGCTGGATGCCTCCTCATGGGGCTAATGGACTCTTCTGCCGGGCCCTGGCGTTGCCATCAAAGATTTGCACTGTCCCCTACCCTTCTTCCCCCAAATACAATGCACAGCCACTATAGCTGTATTTGTCCCCTACCCTTCTTCCCCCGAATATTTGGGGAATCTTTCAGTCTATGTACAGCTATAATGATCGTACATTGTATCGGGGGGAAGAAGGTAGGCCTTTCCTGGGACTGAACTGTGGCTTGACGGGGACTGGACATGTGCCGACTGCCCACCTACTGACTGCTAGGGGCTTTGTACTATTCCTGGCCCTTGGGGCCTCAGTGCACTGCTCTCCAAATGTGCAAAATGAGACTGAATCTTCCGCTAGAACATGGAAAGATACATTGCCATTTTTTTTGTCTTTTGTGCATGCGGAGAGTAGTGCAGCGAGGCCCTTATCCTACCGATTGTCTATGGGCATCCCCACACCACTGTCGAAATGTGCAAAATGAGAATGAACTTCCCGGTAGAACATGGCCAGGTGCACCCGCCACATTTTTGTCTTTTTCACATTTCGAGAGTGGTGTGGAGACGCCCTATGTTTGCCTGCTACAATTCCGCGTCCCATAAAGTTATAAGGGCCTCGTTAGACCCTCCTTGGAAAATCCTCAGGAATTAGGATGAAGTCCTTGGAAAATTTTCCGGTTTTCGGCGTCGTGGTTACCCCGCGTCCTAATTCAATGGGTCCCAAGGAATCCCTTGGAGGTCTCCAGCGGCCAATTTCATACGGATACACGCAGCCGCGGGGGTGGATGTCCATCATCGTGCTGGGATGTCCGTGCGTCCTCGGGCATGGTCCAGTGGCGGCGGCGGGGAGGCCTACCGGGCTGACGAAAAAAAAGGGCGCCAACATCCCCATTCCAGTTTCAAATTTTGAACCCTCCGTTGTGACACATCAGTGTGTGAGGCGTCCTGGTGGCTGGACTGGAGACTAGGGCGAAACGTCTGTGCGGAGGAGTGATGGCGGCCATGGCTGAAAAGGATGGCATTGGAACGTTGGGCGACGTAGAGTGTATGCGTAACGGTTCTCTACTGCGACGTCGCCTTCGTGTTCCGCATGCTCTTCGGGCCGTCACAGCTTAGCATGAACGTAGCGCTTCCGTGAAGCGTGGAGAGTGCGAGCGCGGTTCCCAAGGACGTGCAGAAGGTGCAGCGAGGGCACCAGCGGGCGAACGACGAACGACTGGTAGGTGCTTGTGCATTACAAGTCCTGAGTATGGAACGAGAGCTCCCGGGTGGTGCGAAGGCATTAACGACATTGAAGAGAAACACGGGGGTCGCAGTTGTGTCGATCGTCGCCACTCGTTATCACATTGAGAGAACGACAACTCACCTGAGGAGGAGATTGTTCGCTCACAGGCAGAGGCAGTTGATGCAACAAGTGATGGATGCACCCGATTTTGTGTCGTTATTGGAATCCATTATGCAATTCTACTGCGCCATGGCATCGGGTGTGATCCCGCGGGCGACGCCGAGACGGTGGATGAAGAGAAGGACTGGAGGGAGATGGGAGGATCTCCGACAGGTTGACGACGCGGCGGAGGGCTACTACAAGGAGAAGCTGCGGAGTGGAGTAGTCAATGGCGCGCGTCAGCTGTCTGCCGGAGGTTTCCCGCCTGTCCATCATCGTCTTCCTCACCGTTCGTCGTTTCTGTCTACTGCGTGGACCCCGCACAACGACGCACACATGGAACAACACGACAAGGAGCAGGAAAAGAGTGGCCAGCAGCAGGAGCGGGAACCATCAGAGGACACCTACCATGAATCGCAACTTGCGAGGCGTGTACCAAACAAAGCTTGCATCAATAGCCAACAAAACACGCTAGGCAAATGCTTGCTATCGATCGAAAGT